TGATGAATATCCTTTCCATAGTGCTTCAATTGTTTCAACGCTTCCGCCGTTTTGATCACATCATCCGATGAGATCTTCTTCAAATTCCCCAAATCATTGTTCATGTGCTGTTCGAGGATGGCCACCTCTCTTTTGTGAGTCTCGAGCATTTTGGCGAGACTCTTATACCGTGCACCTTGTCGGGCACCCTGAAAGTGAGGGGTTTACGACAAAACTTTAAACCAAGTGGCTGGTAGATAGTTTGTTTATCATATTGTTTAGTTCAAACTTCGTAGTTTATTATTTTAGAAACCTTTTCGGGCTTTTAAACTGAACAATACGCTAAACAAGCTACCTTAAAAGTGCGTGACTTAATTGTTGGTGATGTTACTTGATTCACACGTTGCTTCTTTACAGTTAAGGAATATTTCAAATGATGAGTTATTTTACGAACCTGTTTCTCCTCTAGATCCATGAGAATCAACAGATACTGTTCGGTGATATCATTGTAGGCGGTGATCGAGTTTTCTTTCAGGAAAACACGAAATTGAGCGGCCGCCTTTTGAATCGATCGCATCTCTTGCTCCAACTCATCTTTTAACAAGGATTTTTGTTGAATCAGAATTTGACAACGTTGACGGTCATCTAAAATTTGTTAATTAAAAAATTGAATTGAATTAGTAGTTTCTGATTATCCTCGATCTCGATCAGTTTGTTGATCTTTTTGTTCGATTACTATGCTACAATGATGAACAACTATTGTTTAAGAGATTGAATTGAATCACTAGCTTCTTTTGTTCTTTGCCAGCTGAGAGATTTGATGGAATTTTTTTCAATCAATCACCAACTTCTTGCTTCTTTCAATCGCTTCTGAACAGATTCATCGATCTCTTCTCGATTCTCGTAGACTTTGGCAAAAGAACGCTTGAAAATCACTCGGGGAAAATACGGTCCACAGTTTTTGCATGTCCATTGACCGTCAACCTAAATATGAAAGTTTTGAAGCTTGAAGTTTTGGTTCAATAGAGATATTTTCACAATGGTTATGCCTATCGAACAGATATCAGCTCTATCAGCTAAGGAATACTCAAGAAATAAACCTGTTAACCTTAATAGTTACAACAAACCTTTCCAACGTGCCTACCCCTCACCATCACCACCGAGTTTTCTTTGGCTAAACTCGGATCCGCTTCGATCAACTTGTCCCTCTCGACCCCGGTGTACTCCACATAAGTTGTACAATTCTTGCAAACCATCGTATCCACATAAGTCATCTTGAAGCGATAGAATCGAACCTGAAAAGTATAGTTTCAAATCGTTCACTCAGTAACCATACCTTTACTTTCAACACTTTCAACATTTCGCTCTCCTTTCCCCGATTTTCATCAGCTCTCTTTTTTTGAGCCTTGATCTCGTTAATCGTTTCAACAACCTACAAAATATTTTCTTAACATTTTTTGATTTAAATACCTTTGTTCTAATCATTGTTAATGGTGGTGCCAATTTCTTGATGATTCTTCTCGAGTAATTGAGATGAAGGGTGTCCTCGACTCGATGTGGCCGTGTTCGTAGTCAAAAAAATTGAGCGGGAATCGCTTGAGGAATCAGCAAAAAGCCAAATCTTGAGCCAAATGAGAAATCAGCAAAAAGCAAACATGCGGATTCGCGTGCCCATAATCGTAATCTCGATAGGTCTCATTGATTTCATCATAGTTCATCAACATCTTCGAGAACTTTTCGTAATTGTACCAGCTTGAAGGAGGTTATCAAAAATGATATTCGAAACGTTTGAGGTGATTCTGGAAAGAAAATGTAAATCGAGGAAGCCCCGTCGGCTAGATTTTATAAACATCGACTGTGAGAACGTCCGTTTTCTTTGTGGGAAAAACGTGTACTTAAAAAGGGGAATTCAAAAATCAAAGGGCTTTTTGCTGATTTCTCAAGCGATTTGGCTTTTTGCTGATTCCTCAGGCGATTCCCGCTCAATTTTTTTTCAAATTCTACAAATCACAAAAGCTTTTCAGTTAAAATAAATTTTAAGAGTGTTAGTCGAGATCCTTCCTATGAGACTTACAATTAACACATTCCTGACGACATGAGCTCATAATGTCTATTGTTGATTTTTCAGTCAACAAGTCAGTTCAATTTATTTGCAAAAAAAAGTTAAAGAGGATCCGAGCCAGCGTCTAACCGTGCTTAAATTGACATAAGCTCGGATATGTTTAGCTTTAATTCTCCTTCAAAATTCGTTGATTATAGGAGCAAAAACGACAAAAATGTTTTGAATGTGTTGATAAAATTTTAACAAAATATTATCAGGCGCATAATAAAACAAAAAACTTTTCTGAGTGGTCAAATCAGAGTTCAAAAGTTGATCATGAAATTTGATTCAAAAAAATTGTTTCGAAAAGCAAAAAATACGGAAATGCTATCTTTATGGAAACGGTAACGAGATTTGAAAGTGGAGAGCGCTTTTCTCATTTGGAGTTCGTAAAAAGGGGGTAGGCTAATTTCCGTAATTTTTTGCACAACGGGGTCATTTGCGCAACTCGCCATAACTTTCTTCTAAGTCGGCCAATCTTTATGATTTTGGTTTCATTTTGTAGATCTCAATAAGTCCAACAAAATGAAACCAACATCATAAAGATTGACCGACTTAGAAGAAATTTATGGCGAGTTGCACAAATGACCCAGTTACGCAAATGACCCCGTTGTGCAAAAAAATTGCGGAAATTAGCCTACGCCCGTAAAGGAAACCAATGTGTCCAAAAATGATATAATAACAAAAAAATAGAAATATTCAGTCAATCAAGAAAAGTAGTAAATTATCTGCTCTCTGAATATCTTATGATTTAGACTTTAATCTCAGCATAATCAATCAAACATCTAAAGGGAAGAATGCGGTTAACTTTCGAGCAGTCGTTTTCAAAGTCTTCAGGCCCGTGTTTATATTGTTTTGAAAAACACAGCTTTTGCTGTCAAGCATCTAAAAGTTTCGTTAAAAGTTAAAGTAGCTTTGGGCTTTGGGGGGGAGGGCACTTTTATCTTCAAAACCACTTTTTCTGGGGTAGCTTTATGCGTAGATTCCGAGAGCTTGGGAAAAGGCGCTTTAAGTCGAGTTTCGGCGCTCCAAAGTCAGCGCTTCTATAGTGTACTTCACTATATGAAACCCAAGCTATCGACTATTGGGGCGTTTTACAGGGTCAAAACTAGAACCAAAACCATTTTTAACGGGACTATGACAACACCGCACCGCCATATGCGCACACGAACAAAAGCGTCTTTTGCGCACGTGTTTTTGCGCACGAATCTTTTGCGCAACGTCATTTGCGCACATACCGTAAATACTGTAATTGGACCCCATGGGGTACTATTTTTTCCCTCCCCCTCTAGGGTGGGGTACTATTAGAGGGGGGGGTACTATTAGAGGGGTGGGGTACAATTACAGTATTTACGGTAATAATTGAATCGGCGCTACTTTTGCATGTTTTTGTAGTTTTGTCACTGTTTCAGCACAGTTTTTAAAACTTATTGCACTTAGAGCACAAACACAAAATTTTTTTTACTTATTCCTCTACAATATCTTTACAGCTAACACATTTTTTTTGTTTAAGTTCGGGCATAACTCGAGAAAGCATTTTCTTTGTTCGGATTTCTCTGAATAAAGAATGTTTTCTGTTTACGTTTAGACATTCATATTTCGGTCCGATTTTATTCTTGCAATTAGTTTTCCAAATGAAACCATTATTTCTATCAAAGAACTATCAGACCAACAAATCATTTTTTCACAAAGAGCCTGAAAAACTTTATGTTGCTCCAATTTGATCATAAACGTAATCAGTAGGTTAAATTATGCCAAATTGTGTTTTTGGCTTCAAAAAATTTTTTGCGAGCCCATTTTTAGACCTCTTTCCTATGTGTATCCCTATCATCACACTGTATGAGCGCGCACTTTGAAGCCCTGAAACTCGGCTCAAAACGCATTTTCCTGAACTCTCGTTGTGTTTTCGGATCTACGCATAAAACTACCCCGGAAATTTACCACCCTCAAAACACAAACAAATTTCTTTCTTGCATTCTTTCTTTTTTTTGTTGACTGTTCAATAATTCTAATGCTTTCTTTTTAGGAAATGAAGGTGTTTGAATCGCTCAACTGCATTATCTGCAAGCAACCGTGTAAGTTTTTGCTTTTAGTTATGGATTTCGAAATAATCTAGATTTTAAAGCCTAAATATAGTGGTTTGTGTTTGATTTGCCAATCTTTCAGTTGCTCGAGTTGCTAATCAACCTCGATCTCCACGTCAGTTGGGTTGTGGATTGGCCATGTGCAACGAATGTTTCAAGAAAGAGTGGAGGTTGGGATCAGAAAAGAGAAATCATCAATGTGGACTTAATGATTGGTTCTTCAACGAAGACTTTGCCTACTTTTTGATTGGTGAGTTTTATTATGATTTTTATTTTGAGTAAAGCTGATTAATCAATCGAATTGTTTTAGATGTTTTGTCACAAGAAAGCGCTTTGGTGTTTACTCCAATGGGATATTTGCTTTTGAAAGTTGGATTTGTGATTTACAAATCATAGTGATTCTTTTAGCCTTTCAAAATTCCGGAATGTCCAATTTGTCATGATGAATGTGAGTTTGGTGACTTGCTTTAAAAACTCTTGCTTTAGATTCAAATGAAATTGAGACGAAGAAATCGTTTGCTCTTCATTGTGGTCATATAATTTGCACGGAATGCTGTTTGAAGACACGTATCATTTGCACGGAATCCTGTTTGAAGACACGTCAGAAGTCTTATTCAAATGGATATACAATCAAATGTCCAACTTGTACACTTACATATGGTCCGTACATTGTTTACGACTTTGATGTTAACAAACGGAAAGATCGATTTCATGGTAGATGAATTCTTTTTAATTTCACTAATTTTTCTTAAGACTTTCTAAATGAGCTGCCCGAAATGACTAAGCAGATGAAACAGATGCATAATCCAAAAATGAAAGCTTCGCAAAATGCTGTAATGAATACTTTAAGTTCCGAAGATCGTAGCTGCAACGAATGCCACAAAAGGGTATGCCTACTTAAATTGATTTCTATAGAAGTATTTTAGAATATTGTCGACGAAATGTTTTATTGCAGTGAATGTGGTTTTGAAGTAAGCTATTGTTAATATTGATGAGGCTCTTTTTTATTTATAGATTTGTGCTGTTTGTGCTTACAAAAAACATCGTTTGCATGAAGCCATTCCGTTATTGGAAAAGCAGGTATCTTTTGCACCTTGTTATTAGTTTTGTTAGTTTGGAATTGAAAGGCGTACCATATTAATTTCAAGTGTTTAGGCTAACCAAAGGTTGATGGAACTTCAACAAGAGTCACGAAATGTCATCAAGACGTACAAGGATTTGGTTCCTGAACTACACAAGGGACTTCTCGAGGGCATTGACATCTTTGAAACGGTATTTTTATCAAATAAAACCAATTGAAGTGATATTTCTTTAGAAATTGCTTTCGAAAGAGGAAACTCTCAAGGACGCATCAACTTTTGCCGATTTACAGAAGAGACACGAGTCGTTCACGTAAGTTTTCAGATTTCGAAACGAAACATTTGTTGTTTAGAAAAATTAAGTCCAAGTTTGAGTCATCCGCTGAGAATTACGTGCCTCATTTGCGCAAATTCGATGCTGAAATCAAGGTGAGTTGATTGGGTTTTTAAAAGAATTTAATTTAATTTGTTTAGCAATTGATTCGAACCCTCAACGAGACCCCTGATGTCTAGGAAATCCGAAAACAAGATTATATGGAAAACTTCTAATTGATAATTATTTTGATGTATTTTGCGAATAAAGTGCCGAATAAAACATATTTGTTGAGGCAGATTTCCATCTCAACCATAAATCTCCATTCAAAATGTTCGAATTCCAGCGAAGAGTCAACTATTCTTCCTAAAATCCGAGTTTAGCTGATGGCAATAAGCTTACTGATGGTTATCATTGGAACCCGTTAGCTGTCAACTATTAGGTTGGTGGGAAAATAATCGAAATAAACAAGACTGAAACTTTATCTTTGATTTTAAAAGTCCTATTGCGTCATTGGTACTAAACTTTTAGCTAATTGTGATTGATATATATTCTTCTCTTTTATGTTTTTTTTACTTTACAATCAGTCTTTATTTTGAATAAAAATTGAGTGTTTTAAGAGCATGGATAAGGAACAATTTCGGACACTTTTTTTCTATGAATTCAAGCTTGGCCATACAGCAACAGAAGCGACTGGTAATATCAACAGGGCATTTGGCGAGGGAAGTGTTTCTTATGGTATGGTCGCTTTTTGGTTTCGGCGATTTCACTCAGGCGATGAGACGTTTCATGACAAAGAACGCCAAGGAAGGCCTTCCAGAGTTGACGATGCAGAATTGGAAATTCGAAAAGTGGAAGGAGATTCGACCAAAACATCTTGAGAATACGCACAGGACCTTCAGGTTGATCATTCAACAATTTTGGCTCATTTGAAATCAATCGGAAAGGTAAAGAAGATGGAGCAATGGATCCCGCACGAATTAAGCGACTTGCAGAGGCTGCAGCGTCTGACAGCCGCCTCGACTCTTCTAATCCGAAATAAAAAAGATCCATTTCTGAATCGGATTGTCACGTGTGACAAAAAATGGATCCTATACGACAACAGAAAAGGAAGATCCGAATGGCTCAGCAAAGATGAAAAGCCCAAATGCACTGCAAAGCCAGAGATTCATGAAAAAAAGGTGATGATTACTGTTTGGTGATCCATGAAAGGAATGTGCAAAAAAAACTTGCCTGCAAGACTTGATTAACTTTGGGGAAAAACGCGATTATGTGTGAATCACTTTTGTGAAACACGCTGCCGCTTGAGCTCAAGGATCGATTGCCGATGTGGAGACGCTTTCGCCATTCCTGAAAACAACCATACTAATGTATTGAAAGTTAGTAATCACACCATAAAATAAGAAAAATACACAAAAACCATAAAAACAGGTAAGCAAAAAGTGAAATGGGGCTCATAACATAATACGACGTTATTGCGGTAATTCTTGGTCACCCTCTATACCCACTGATTCCAAATCGGATGCGACACAGACTTCTCCCTAACGATAAGGTGCACTATTTTTTCAGTCTCCTACGCTAGACTATTAGCGGCGTATTATTAGGGAAAATGTTGCAATATTTACCATAAAGTCCTAGACTTAAATTTTACAATCGTACAATTGAGTTATCTCATAAAAGTTCATTAACTTTAGTGCTTTTGCTGAATCATTCGGTTGTGAGGTGACAGAATGGAGTATGTTGTGTGGAAATGCTCGAGTGGCAACTTTTTTGACTGAGGTATTTATTATTTTTGCAAACAATGAACTTTTCTTTGTTTACCTTAAAGTTCTTATTTATTTGTTTTTGTGTGTCAAAACTCTCTCCATTAGGCCTACATTAACAACGACGATCGCAGAAAGGCTTTTCAATGTCAACACGAGATCGCCCATGCAGGCGGTTTCAAAGTTTGGTGAAATGGAGTTACAAATTTTCTTGTTTTTGGCTTCAGATCAAGTATTTTGCTTACTATATAAAGTTTAGTAAAATAAATGTGTTTATATAGTATAAATCTATGTCGAATTGCATTCTCATCGGTGAAAAGAATGCGTCGACGAGCTTGTCCAGTGAACCGAGCCAGAAGTTGAACGCTAAACGGAAGCACTCACAGTTTTGTGTCCGAAGCCTGGCTACCCTTGCCCCTACGCGTTCCCTTGAATTCTCAAAAATGCATTATCTAGATGCTAACAAACTTGTTGATCATCATGCACAACAGGACTTATTTTTCTTTGCCTGGAATCGGGATGAATAATTTTTTCGTCACCAAAATCCAATCCGCTTTTCAGTCTCTTTTTCCATCCATTCTTTCCGTGAATCCATTCTTCCCGTGGTATAGAAAGAAAGAAAGTAAATTATTTTTCTATAATTTTCAACGTGGGCTTGATTTCTTTCAGGAAATCAGTTTAAAAAGCTGAAAGCCGGAACAGTGACGATTGTTGAAAGTAAATTGAGCAAATCAATACGAGTTTACCATTGATTCTTTATATCGCTGACAGTTGTATTTAGAAACATCGAAACAAATCCAAACCATATATTATCCAACAAGAACAAACAACTATCAAGATCGTTTATACAAACATTTCGAATTTTCTATAGCTCTGTATGTGTCAAATGCTTGCTCTTTCCGAAGACTTTCTGCCAATTCTTGTTCTTTTTCGGCAATGAAGCTACCAGCGATCCGCCCAGGTACGACTGAGCAAACGATACGATATTCTCGGTGGATAGATCGCTGAAACCCGTGAAATCGGGTTTGTATATCGTTAGGATCTCTTTTTCAAAAGAAACGATCCGAAGGGTCGGAAAATCGTTTTGCGTGAGCCCGAAGAAGTCGATAATCGGGTCGCTGTCGTCGATGTCGGTGTCCACGTAGACACAACCAATCTGAATTTTTGGAAAATGAAAATAGATTTACATTTTACTGTCTTGATTCTGTTTCTAACCGATTTGTTTTCCTTTGTTAAAGGGCCGCGGAGGAGCGGCTAAAAGCCATAACCTATTCTCATTAAAAAAATTTTTCGGCAAAATTCGTTTATTTTGTCTTTATTTCTTAGATTTATTGCTAGAAATGATAAAAATGCTGTTTTGCCCAAAAAACAAAGATTCAATTTTTAGACTAACTTAGAAAGAGACACAGCAAGGTGATGCTGTACGATCAGAGAGATAATAAAGAACCGTAATCAGCTTCTAATCGAATATTTATTCGTATTGAGCAAGCAAATGAAAAATTCCAAAATACAAAATATACAAAATTAAAAACGTTTCGTGACGAAGTTGGGAAGAAAGTTGAGGAAACGATTTTTTTGACGGCTTGGATTGTAGACGCTTGGCGGTTCGAGGTCTCCACCCTTGGCCACCTGGAAAAATGGTGTTAACAAATATTCAAACACATGTGCTTTTATTAGGTCACGATATAAATTCAGTAAGATGCGTAGTCTAGACTCGTAGTTTTAATTTGAATGAAAAAGTGCAAAAAAAAAACAAACCCATTGTTTCACTCCTTCCAACGCTTGATGAATATCCTTTCCATAGTGCTTCAATTGTTTCAACGCCTCCGCCGTTTTGATCACATCATCCGATGAGGTCTTCTTCAAATTCCCCAAATTATTGTTCATGTGCTGTTCGAGGATGGCCACCTCTATTTTGTGAATCTCAAGCATTTTGGCGAGACTCTCATACCGTGCACCTCGTCGGGCACCCTGAAAGTGAGGGGTTTACGAAAAACTTTATACCAAGTGATTGGTAGATAGTCTGCTTGTTCATGTTGTTGTTTAGTTCAAAACTTCGTAGTTTATTATTTTAGAAACTTTTTCGGACTTTTAAACTGAACAATACGCTAAACAAGCTAGCTTAAAAGCGCGTGACTTAGTTGTTGGTGATGTTACGTGATTCAAACGTTGCTGCTTTACACAGTTCAGGAATATTTCAAATGATGAGTGATTTTACGAACCTGTTTCTTTTGTAGATCCATGAGTATCAACAAATACTGTTCAGTGATATCATTGTAGGCGGTGATCGAGTTTTCTTTCAGGAAAACACCAAATCGAGCAGCCGCCTTTTGAATCGATCGCATCTCTTGCTCCAACTCATCTTTTAACAAAGATTTTTGTTGAATCAGAATTTGACAACGTTCACGGTCATCTAAAATTTGTAAATTAAAAAAATTGACTTGAATTAGTAGTTTCTGATTCTCCTCGATCTCGATCAGTCTGTTGATCTTTGTTGATTACTATGCACAATGATGAACCATTATCGTTTAAGAGCTTGAATTGAATCACTAGCTTTTTTTTGTTCTTTACCAGCTGAGAGATTTGTTGGAATTTTTTGAATCAATCACCAACCTATTGCTTCTTTCAATCGCTTCTGAACACATTCATCGATCTCTTCTCGATCCTCGTAGACTTTGGCAAAAGAACGATCGACCATCACTTGGGGAAAATTCGGTCCACATTCTTTGCATGTCCATTTACCGTCAACCTAAATATGCAAGTTTTGCAGCTTGAAGTTTTGGTTCAATAGAGATATTTTCACAATAGTTATGCCTATCGAACAGATATCAGCTCTATTTTCATTTTGTACAGAGTTGGGACCCTCTTGGCTACGAGTCAAAATCTTTAGGCCAGTTTGTCAAACATACGAGGCCTTAATTAAGAAATACTCAAGAAATAAACTTGTTAAACTTAGTAGTTACAATAAACCTTTCCAGCGTGCCCACCGCTCACCATCACCACCGGGTTTTGTGTGGCTAGACTTGGATCCGCTTCGATCACCTTGTCCCTCTCGACCCCAGTGAACTCCACTTGAGTTGTACAATTACTGCAAACCATCTTATCCACATAAGTCATCTTGAAGCGATAGAATTGAACCTGAAAAGTATAGTTTCAAATTGTTCACTTACTAACCATACCTTTACTTTCAACACTTTCAACATTTCGCTCTCCTTTCCCCGATTTTCTTGAGCTCTCTTTTCTTGAGCCTTGATCTCGTTAATCGTTTCAACAACCTACAAAATATTTTCTTAGCATTTTCTGATTTAAATACTTTTGTTCCAATCATTGTTAATGGTAGTGCCAATTCCTTGACGATTCTTCTCGTGTAATTGAGATGAAGGGTGTCCTCGACTCGATGTGGCGGTGTTTGTAGGGCTTGATCGAGCATCTTCTTCGTTTCATTTGCCGACACTTTATAGCTCCGAGCATACAAATCGAGAAGGGCTTGATCCTTTTCGGGTTCTTCCTAAATTTCTGACTTGAATTGTCCAGTTACTAGAGTAATGTCAGTTAAATGTTCACTACTCTGTCAACTGTAGTCATCTTATGAATCATAAAACTTTAAATAACTAGGGAAAGGCACGAACTTAGTGCACTTTATAGAATCTGGTATGCGGAATCCGAATTTGAAATCAAAATCAGCCAAATGACTTTCAAGGCGTGTAAGACTTCAATCGAAAATTTGGAGTCAAAACGGATGCTTGAAAAGGCTCCTTTCTAGGGGAGAAACGGTAAGTTGGTGGGCTAACGCATTAGACGCATTAGAGTTCCGCCCAAATGACCAGGCTTTCGGTCCCTGATGCAGCCTTTTGTTTTCGTTTTTCTTTTGGAGCCACTTATAGCATTTTGCAGCAAAGTAGAGAGGGGAAAAAACGTGTTTTTCAAGCCGTTTTCATGTTACAACGAAAGCAAGGGTCCTCTTCTGGGACGTTACAAAACTGCTTTAGCTCCATATAGTGAAGTACACTATAGAAGCGCGCCATCTGAAGCCCCGAAACTCGGCTTAAAACGCCTTTTCCCAAGCTCTCATTGTGTTTTCCGGAATTCACGCATAAAACTATCCCAGAAAAAGTGGTTTTAAAGCAAAAAAAGTGCGCCCCCAAGTTGACTAGTTCCCCGAACCCTGATCCTGTGGGTAGAAGCCTAATGCTTTATCCAGAGGCCACCAAATTACCTTTTGTCGGCTAGAAAGGAACCTTTTAAAGCCTTTTGACGCGAAATTTTCAATCGAAGTTTTACACGCCTTGAAAGTCATTTGGCCGATTTTGATTTCAACATTTCATACCCTCTATAAAGAGCACTAGGCGTCCAGAAAAAAGCTCACCTTGAGTGCGTGCCTTTCCCTAGTAAGTAGTTAGTGACAAGTAATTTAAATTAAACGTGATATTACCATTTTGTGCAAATAGGCCAAATATCGATAGGCGATGTTGTCAAAAACGAAGAGATTCTTGTCGTTTAGCACAATTTCGATTCTTTGTCTTTCTTTGATCTCGTTGACTAGGGTTTGTAGCGGGACGATTGTCTCTGATACCTAAAAATAATGTAATTAAAGATTTACAGTTTGTTTTGAAACAAACCTTATATCCTACACCGCTAGCTTTTGTGAAACAAAAGGCAATGTTATGGATGGCTGAACGATGGAATTGCATAATCAGCTCCTAAAACTATCTAGTTTAAGTCAATTCATTACTTCAAACCTTGAAGCAGAACTCGAAAGGTGGATCGAGTCGTGCTTCATTTGGGTCCAACAAGAAGCAAATCAAGTTGATTTCGCCCAAATTGCCCATAAAGTTCACGATGTTTTGCATGTTCTCCTTGTCCTTTTCGATTCCCTGACAATCGCCGACGCCTGGTGTGTCGACAATGCAGTAAACCCGGCGTTGATCCTGGAAATTTAAAAATGAACGCAACGATGGAAACACTGACATTGTTTTTGAAATAATGAGCCCGGGGATGTTGCGTGCATGACATCTTCTCTCTGTAAACTTCGTTCTTGTCATCGCCGATCTTGATCTGAAATCTTACGGTTTGTAGGAATGCAATTAAAACAAATTTTCTCGCTTTTCCGGATTTTCCATATCCCACTTGTTTAAACAACTCTTTTGGACCACACGAGATGACTACTAGACTAGACTAGACTACTCCTAAAATTTTTAATAACACTCTTGTACTACTGTTACAAACAGCACTTGTAGTACTACTCTAAGTTTCAAAACTTCTTTTACCTTAATGATGTCCGTTTTCTCAGGTGTAACATTTGTGGTGGTGAACTGAAAGGGGATCAAATGAGTGAACTCGTTGGCGGCAGCTGCCTCGAGTGTATCGTGAGAAATATAGGTGGCCGTCGCGTTAATCCACGTCGACTTTCCCACACCAGTCTTGCCGATTACCTGAAAGCAAACTTTTTAAGAACATTAGTGGGGTTTACCAGAATGTTTATCCTCTCATAGGGAGTCAATGTGGATAAGTAGCGTTTGAGTCGTTGCTCATCAAAGGCAAGAAATTCATTTCCGTGAAAATCATTGCAGCAACGGAAAGTGAAACTCGTAACATCACAGGCGCCACACCTAAATTTTTTTAATCGATTGTCAAAATTTAAGCACATAGCAACACTAGTTTAGCAAACATTTCTTTTAACTAACTTAATCAAATATTTTTTTTCTCATTAGTCTCATGTCTCGCAATTATCAGTGATTCTTTGTAAAAATTCTCTATTCCAAATCTTAAAGCACTCACCCGCAGTAGAACTTATTTCCCAGATCATATTCGAGCTCCTTATTGCAACTCTTACAAATCCAAATTCTCGGCTCTTCCGATTGACGACAACATTCAGCATTCGGGCATGGGAGACTGGCTCTGATGAGATTGAGAGAAGGCTTTTGTGAAGGAACCGGATCGGCTGTTCTCTTTGCAAAATTCGTACTACGATAGGTTTCATAATGTGCAAGGCAGTCTGTGTCTGTGTATTTTCCATTATCGAAATGACAAATCCGAGTCCCTTCTGGTAGGCCTTCTTTCAATTGGATCTCCGATTGTTCGTCTGCATTGACGGCAATATAGAGATGCTCCTTGTCGTTGAGTGATGCCCAATATTTGAATAGGTTGGTCGTGTACAGGGCTTGACTGTTCTGGTTCCAGATCTTCTTCAGCGAGTAGAAGAGTACCTGAAAGTTTATCAGGTTGGCCGGAAAGTCTTGTACGCTTTTTTTGAAATGAATAATGAGCCAATCAATCTATGGTTTTTTTATCAGAAAGTCCAATTATTTATTTACAAATTGCCCTTTAAGAAATTCTGAAAAGCCGTTTTTACTCAAATTCAAATACCTAAAAAGCCATTTATTGTTTTTGTTGCTGATCTCTATTAAAATTTTCTACCTTTGAAATCGTATGAGCAAACAATGGCTCAAGTAAAGTTCACAAAAAGACTTCAGTTGTGGCATTTTACGTAAATTTTTGCATTTAGAATCTACGCTAGATCCGAGTTATTCAAATAGAATTTGCACAAGTGGCTTCACTTGATCAAATACTACTTGTATTTGCCTATCTGTTGAGGCTTAAATGAATCGAAACTTACAAAAAAACTTTTCCCATCCGACTTCAGCTTCAGATAATCCGAGTGCGACTTGACGAAAACAATCTCACATCCAGCCATTTCCTCAAAAAATTTCAATGAACCAATCATGTTCGCGAAGCGTTCGTGGAACTTTTCGACACCCTTCACCGTAGCCCATTCATTGTATTCTTTCAGTGAAATCTCGACGATCTCTTCCCGCGCATCTTCATTGTTGCCTCGAGCTTGTGGGAGAAGATCTTTCTAAAATAAACTAAAGGCTTTCATTAATTTGAAGTTAACATACCACAGCTTTTACCAAAGTTAATTTGTTCGTTGCACATTGCTCGTCGTAGGCCATGAACTCGTTGAGTTCCTCTTTTGAAAGCTAGATTTGATGAAAATAAAAGAAGTTCTTGAAAAAATTGAGTCAATTAGATACATTATTAGATGCTGTTCTCATTTTTTTTATATAATCATCAAAGTTTACCTCCCGGAGCCGACGTTCCATCAAACGACCCATTTGCTCAATCAGTTCGAATTGACTCTCTGCATCAATCATTGTTATTGTCAAACGCTCAAGCTAAAAGATTTCTATTTAGTCCTGTTCCAAATAGGTAACCTGTTTTTTGGAAAGTTTTTTGAACGATGCATCCGCTTCATGAGGCTTTTTCAGCTCTTTGAAGAGGCTCTTCAAATCGAGCAAAAGGTAGTTTATGGGAAACCTGAAAATGATCTTCATTATTTTGATTAGCATCGTGTTTATTTGATTGAGTACTAAGCCTTGCACCCAAATTTATTTTCGAATTGAATAAGTCTGAAGCTACCAAATGAAATGGTTTTTCATTAGATAGCTCAATCATTTCTCTTGCAAATGACTTTTGAAAGTTTTTCATTAGCAAGAAGCTAAGTGTACAAAAACCACAAGGTGCGATGGTGCGATTTCGACCGTTTCTTCCCAAGAAACCTATCTTGATGACAAAATAAAAAAGATAGCACACAAAAGGTCAGGTCTACAACCAAAATTTCAGAATAATCCGTTTAAGGTTTTTTTATGTGCTCATTTTTCAATATTAAAAAAACAGTTTTCGGTCACGCAGCTTATTCCAAAATAATCAAAATTGTTTAAAAACGACAAAAAAAAAAAGAAAAAAAAAAAAAAAGAAAAAAAAAGGGTTGGGGGGGGGGGGTTCGCGACTCATTCATTTAGATTTTGAAATGAAAGGGTAAAGACTTAGTATTAAACCTAATAGATGCGTTTTACTGTTTATTTTGTTGCCAATTCGATAATTTTCAAAAATCGCTTAAAGCAAAGGTCCAACCTTTTACCGTTGTCCGAGTGATGTGCGGCCTCTTGCAAAGTTCTCAACGTTCCACTGAGGGTCCGAGGGCTAGCAACGGTTGGATTTGGATCGTCGGTGAAAACCTAGAAGTAGATTAATTAAATTTAAATTTAGACTAATGTATAAGCACTCACTACTATTAAAAATAGCTTACCTTGACCTTGAAGCTTTCCTCGAGGCTCAAATCTGTATTACTGAAATCACCCAGCTTGAGTAAATTGACGAGATTTTGGACACTCGAGGAGATCCTTTGCTGGGTTTCTTCCAGATTTTCAGCCAACGAACAATCAAAATCGAGTGAAACGATCACATTGCATCCCCATTCAATGCCAACCACAACATGAGTGCCTTTCGAGTCGTTGAGGCTTTCAGTCAACAGACGTGACCATAACTTCTGGAATGAAGATGAATGAGTGAAATGAGTAAGTTAAACATTATGAGACGCTAAAAGACAGACTCTAGAAAAAGACACTTTCAATGGCTTTGAATAAATGTGAACAAGTAAGGGTAACATTTTAAAGAATGGCTTTTTATGGTTGATCCTATTGAAGAACCAAAGATAGTTCTCTATTTAATTGTATAAAACAGTTGTTTCTACGTTGAAGTGACATACATCTTATTTATCCTTATTGTTTTCCTATTGGGTGAATGCATATAAAATGGCTAATCCATGTAAATTTCTCCACCAGCTATCTAATTTCTATTTGGTTAGAATGAAAAGTTATATTCTTAAGCTTTATTAGCTTTATTAGGAAAAATTTAGCGATTTCATATGCATTCACCCAAACGCCTCGCTGATCACCAACCGGTTCAGCAATTTTCATTTTCTCAATCGCAGACATTGCACGCTCGACGATCATATAATTCAAATGATTGGCTTTACAGGGCTTTTCTTCTAGAAATTTTGATGGACCGGCTACCTAAAACTATATTTGGAAAGAAATTTTTCAAATTTAAACACACATGGACAAGTCCTGAAAGCACACTCAAAAGTGGCTCGTCTTCGATGCCCAGGGTCGAAAGTCGATCCGAGAAACATTTGATTTCTTTTGACTCAAACTCGATTTCCTCAAATTGTTCGATAGTCAGCTCATCGGATTGAATAATTCTAAAAATAATTGGTTATTATTAACGCAAAATACAAACTCATTGAAAAGAGTCTCTTCGAGAAAAGCTTCATTTCGGGCATCGTAAAGCGCTCCGAACTTGGCCACTCGTCCAAATGATGGTCTTTTGATCAACGTTGACTCCAAATTGAGCATATCTGTTAAAATATTTCTATAAAGAAAGAATTTAAATAAAGAAATATAAAGAATCTAAATAACAAAATATGGGGAAACTTATTTTACGAATCAAACAAAGAACCTTAAAATAGCTGTAGTTGAGAGGTTTATTGATAAAAGTATGCGAATCTAAGAACCATTTAACAAAAATAAACGGGATCATTTGCGAACAGAAACTTGCCAAACTCGGATAACATTATCAGTATAGCCAGCATAAAGAGTTTGTCCGTCTTGTGACCAAGCAAGAGAAATACAATGTGGAGCCGCCGTACATGACCCAGATATTTCGGGCTTGAGATCTTCGATGGCACGCTTGTCTTCCAGATCCCAGATTTTGATCCAAGGTCCAACAGCAGCACACAATCAGTCTCGATTCGGTGAAAAGGCCAAGGCGTTGATCGTTTCAGTTCCATTGAGTGTGTAGAGATGTTTTCCCTCGTTCAAGTTCCAGAGCATCGCTTGTCCGTCACGGTCTCCCGAAGCGCAGAGTGAACCATCTGGCGAAACGGTGACAGTGTTGATGTAACCGGCGTGTCCCTTGTGATTGGTCTTCAGACGGCAGTTACCGAGATTCCACACTTTCACCACTTTATCCCATCCAGCCGAAACGATCACCGGATCCCGAACGTTTGGCGAGAAGCGCACAGTCGACACCCAATCAGTGTGGCAATCCTCCTTAACAAGAAACTTGCACAACAATGATGTTCAATAACCAATACCTGAATGGTGAACTTGCACTGAGCAAGGGTGTTCCAAAGCTTGATTGTACGGTCGCGTGATCCAGAGACGATTTGTCGGTTGTCAGTTGAGAAAGCGACGGATAAGACGTCTTTCTCGTGAGAAGCAAAACGACGCGTTGAGGCTCCACTAAAGCAAGCCGTTATCTTCAAGCTAAGTTACTCATTAAAACTCACGTATTCAAATCCCAAAGACGCAAGCTTTTGTCCCAAGAGCCAGAGAGGGCGAATTGTCCATCTTTGAGATGACCACATCAGAAACGAAGTGCCCATGCCCCTTCAGTGGTCGTCCAGCGTGTCCAGTTTCGTTCACGGAAGAGCTGTCGACATCCCAAATGATCATTGTCTTATCTAAAGTGATAGGATTAGTAACTAAACCAATCAAGTTGGTTCTGTATTCAGATCAACCGTCGAGTAGTTCCGCAAGTTGAAAAAGGAAGCTCGGAATTTAAAATTCGATTCGTCTTTCGAAACTCGTCTCGTATCACTATTAAGCCAGAGCGCACTACTTTTCCTCCTACTTTTACTAGTATAAATTCTTAATTTGGTATCTATTTAAGCTTTAGTAGCTGTTTTCTAGCTATTTCCAGCAGTTACTGAGGTTTTCAGTCTCTTAGTTCCGCTCCGTATCTTTGAACCCAGTGGAAACTGTGCCCCTCTTAAAGGCTCGGAAATGTTGTTCAAACTGTGATAAAATTTGCTCAGAATTGTTTATAAATGCTTCCAATGGATCCAGCTTAGCTAATTACCCCAGAAAGTTTTTGAAACTAGTGGCACGTTCGAAAAAAGTGTTTGCAAACTGCCTCCCCCACGAACTACTATAGCACCTGGAAACCTTATAGATACCACCAGTATACCTCTCTACCAGATTAATCCTCTAGACTACAAGTTTGTTAAATGTTAAAAAAACACTGTTAAATGTTACTTAAATCAAGGCCAAAGTATACCTCGTGACGATGAAATGACAGTTGTGCGATCATCTCGTGTGGTTGTCGCAATTTGTGTGGCCCATCCGTTATGGTCCTCCAGCGTTCCTTGCAACTTCATTTGCTCCATCTTCGATTGACGTCTAAAGAGAAACATATCACAACCAAAAGAACGAGATGCCAAAGAAAAAGAAACGTGTTGAAGCTCGGAACTTTTGGTTCCGAGGCTGGGTGGGCTAGGGATCGAAAGCGGCAGTAGGATTCAGTTCAAAACTTGACAAAGCTTGGAAATGTTCAAGACTTAATTTGCGACTTGGCAAAAATGCAGGAGACTCAACAACTCAAATTGCTTTAGACTCAACTCGCGCAAAACTATAACAAAGAAATTAAAAAACTTCGCCGGCTTGATTTGGCCTAGAATCAGAACATTTCACGGGATGCATGGAAAATCACGCAATTTTCAACTCCGGGGTTTCTCATTTGCGAATTTTATGTTACTTCAGATCAGAAAGAGTAAAAACGCGCATGAATTGCCCAATCCCAATAAACTTTCACAATCTCTAATTTCCAAAAGTTACAATTTCTGTTAGTGGGATGAAGAGCGAAACCAATCGACTGTAGCGAAAAAATCGCCACTATCGCCAACTGTACAGACGCGTAGCGACAGAAATATTTATTCGTTAAGACAACAACACTTGAATAGCCGAATATCTTTTCTTCTCTTTTTGGCTCTTTTCGACTAAATTCATGTGCAATTTGAAAAAAAAATCATTGAAATCGTTAGAATGAAGGTTTTTAATCAAAAGCTACCCGGTTTTGCTCTACTTTCATTCAAAACTTGCTTCCTAAAACTATTGGTGCTATAGTAGTTATTAGAAAACAACACCTTGGACGTGTGCTCACTGTGTAAATTGCTTGGTAACAAGCTTGAAGCGTTCAAGTTCAAGCCGTTTTCCGAGGCTGTTTGCATTGATACAAGCAAGAAATTGTAGTAAACTTGCCCGAAACGGCGCAAAGTACAGAGTACGCTGTTAAGATCCATATGAGGCGTTAAAACGTTGAAGCTCAAGCGTTTCCCTAACTAGTACAGCATCAAACTAACTTTATCTCTTCATCTGTCATCCCTTTCGTGAATCGCAAAGCTATCACTTTGTTAAAGATAGCTAGATTTTTGATTTAAAAATTTATTTTTATCAGTTTAAACGTTATTCTTTAGCATGGCTTGTCGAATTAGCCGCCTAACACCGCAAAATTCGGTTCTCTTCGTGTGCGATCTCCAAGAGAAATTCAGGTTTGCGGTTTTGTATTAGCTCTGTAAAATTTTTATTTAGGAATCAAATCAAATTTTTCCCGGAGATCTGCCAAGTTGGACGACGTTTGGTCGATGCGGCAAAGTTGCTTGGCATTAAGGTACATTTGTTAGTTTAATAGCAACAACGAATAGTTTAATTATGTTTAAGTGGATGATCTTTAAGATTTTAAAAGCTTATTCAGCTTTAAGGTTTAAAAATAAAGCAGATTTCTTTAGATAATTTCTTTTTTTGACTATCGCAACTGAGCAATACCCCAAAGGACTTGGCCATCTCGTGCCTGAGCTTGGACTTCAAGAAAGACCCGACATTCCGATTTATGACAAGAGCAAAGTAACTTTTGTGATTATGTGTGAAACACTTTTGTGAAACACGCTGCCGCTTGAGCTCAAGGATCGATTGTCGATGTGGAGACGCTTTAAACATTCCTGAAAACAACCATACTAATGTATTGAAAGTTAGTAATCATACCATAAAATCAGAAAAATACACAAAAACCATAAAAACAGGTAAGGAAAAAGCGAAATGGGGCTCATAACATGATACGACGTTATTGCGGTAATCGAAACAAATCCAAATAATATATTATCCAACAAGAACAAACAACTATCAAGATCCTTTATCCAAACATTTCGAATTTTCTATAGCTCTGTATGTATCAAATGCTTGCTCTTTCCGAAGACTTTCTGCCAATTCTTGTTCTTTTTCGGCAATGAAGCTACCAGCGATCCGCTCAGGTACGACTGAGCAAACGATACGATATTCTCGGTGGACAGACCGCTGAAACCCGTGAAATCGGGTTTGTATATCGTTAGGATCTCTTTTTCAAAAGAAACGATCCGAAGGGTCGGAAAATCGTTTTGCGTGAGTCCGAAGAAGTCGATAATCGGGTCGCTGTCGTCGATGTCGGTGTCCACGTAGACGAAACCAATCTGAATTCTTGGAAAATGAAAATAGATTTACATTTTACTGTCTTGATTCTGTTTCTAACCGATTTGTTTTCCTCCGTTAAAAGGCGCGGCTAAAAATCGTGGCCTATTCTCACTAAAAAATTTTCGAGAAAATTTACTTATTTTGTGTTTATTTGTTAGATTTATTACTAGAAATGTTAAAAATGAATTGGTAAGATTAATTTGAATCCCGACAATCCTTCTTTAGAGATCGGCATCGACATTGAACAAATTAATTTGAGAACAAAATAGAGTTTATTCACATTTTGCGTGATCAGCCTTTTAGTGCTTCTTTTTCTGGATTTTGGCAGAAACAGTATCAAGACAGTAAAATCCAAATCGATGTTCCAATTGATTCCAATACAAATAAATACTCGATTAGAAGCCAATTACGGTTCTTTATTATTGCTTTGATCGTATTGCTTTGACAATTTATCACCTTGCCGTGTCTCTTTCTAAGTTAGCCTAAAATTTGAATATCTGTTTTTTTGTGTGCAAAACAGCTTACAAAGTCCTCTTTTTACTCAATCTATTCAATTTACCGATTAAATAAACTTAAGTAAGCTCTTTTAGTTCATTTAAATTTCTTTCAATCAGTAGCTGATTCAGTGCCAAACTGGTTATCTAAAAGGGGCGGAGTAATAATCATCGGAAAAGAAGTAATAATCAATAATATATCATCGGAAAAGGCCACGGGACCCAATGATCTTTCCCTTGTGAGTCTGAATGTATCTTTTTTCTTAGCATTATGAAAAGTTTATGTAATCAATTCGAAGTTTTTTTTAAACCAACCTTTCCTTTGAATTGTTTGGCGGCGGCTTTGAATTGGCGATTGATTCTTGCAAAATCGAATTGATCCTTTGAGAAGAGAACAATGTGAGTTGTGATTTCCCCACCAAATAAACGAGATCGAGCCTTTTCAGAATAATGACCGACGAGTGGGCGACGATTTGCTTGAATCCAAAATCTCAATGCTTCGGATGTGAACTGAAATTGTTGACTTTTATGAATGTGACTAAAACTAATGTGATTTTATGTAGTTCTATTGTGGTTTTATCAAAAAAAACTTATTTTTCTATTACCTCATCCTCAAAAACGCTTTTTCCCTCGTCGAAGTTCTTGAAAAGAATGACTCCTTCGCCGTCGAGTTTGAGCAATTTCTTCACAGATTTCTCAACTGTGATCCCGGATTGGAGATCGGGAATCTGGGTGACCAAATCACGGAAAACATTTGCTTTCACGCTGTCAAGAGTCTTGAATTGAAAATTGATAAAATGAGGCTTTTATTAACACAAAAATGATCATTATCAGTTACCTCAAAGTATCCGATTACGGCGACGTCAGCTGAGGCGGCAAATTTCTTGAGATCATTAGCGTTGAAAAGAGTCACAACAGAGTAGGCTGAGCAAATCAGCGGCAGCAAAAGGGCAATCGTCTTGAGCATTTGATGTTAGACCATTGAACGTTTTTGTGTTTTGGTCTAAATGATTGTGCAGTGTATGAGAGAAAACGAAAGGGGTAATGAATTTTTAGATACTTTCTTCAGAATCTAGCACAATAACTAGCAATAGTTAATCTAGCAAGAAATACAATAAACCAAATCAATCGTTGGCTTGGTGGTTATGATAAAAAAGGCGAATATAAAGTCTCTCTGTCCTTTTCATCACACAAAACGATCTTCAGAGGTGAGGAAAGAGAATCAGATATGCTTTAACTATAGCATGAAGCTCGTGAAGTTTTTATAGTTAATTCTGCACACATTATAGTTACTTTTTGAGAAAAAGATTATGGAAGAAATTCATTTTAGAAAAAAATGAAAGAAAGACAGTGAGAGTGGATAGTGACTGAAGGAAAAGGAATAGTGGTCAGATCTCTCTCTCTATTCCTCCTTTTTCCTGTGCTTTCTATTTAGTCCTTATAGTCGTCACCCCGATTCCCTTTCACTTTCAGAATGAAAAAGGAAAGAAAGATCCCTTCAAGCAAAAAGGAAAGCAGGTTTTCATCGGAACATTTTGAAACTCAAAAAGCATATTCATTTGCCGTTTGCTTTTTAGCAATAAATGCAATTTTCATCAAACATCCAACTTTTTGACTATAGGATTTTTGTTTATTTTATTAGCGGAAAAGAAAAAAGAGAATCTGATTAGCATTTGCAACAATCCGTATACAGTTGTCATTAATACAGCAACAATGTCCACAGCAGGCCACAAGAAATACGGCTCAAGCGTAACGATAGACAAAAACTTTAATCATCATCAATGTCATCACCCTTTGAGCTGGCCATAAATTAAAACAACTAGTTATCAAAACTATCAAAACGCATCAAACTGTGTCTCAATTTGCTTATCCTCGATTTAATTCAGTAATGGGAATAGACTGAAAAAGCTTGGCCAATATTTAAAACCAAGAGCTCTCACAATCAGAAATCGACAGCCTGCAGCTTTTCAGTGTATCAAATTGTCTCCAGGTGAATCGACCAGAGAAACCCGTTTCCTTTTCATCTCCATCCTTTCTTTCATCTTTCGAACACCCAAATCACCTAGGATTTATCATCCCGGCAATTGGATGCCATTCGAATTTTCTTTTTGGATAGCAGGAAATGCTCGGCCGCTTATTTTTCTTCCTTATTTTCATTCCTTTCGTTGTTGTGCAATGGAACTTTGATGTAAACAATTTATTCAGTAAGTTTTCGTGGAGTTCGAACAATTCAAAAAAAGGCACATCATTGGAAAAAATTTCTATTTCACTTGATTCAAAGTTAAGCTCATACTTTACTAGTTTTGTCTATAATTTTCAAAAATCTGTATTCTAGAATCCAATGTAAACATCAATAATTCCTCATAAATCAAAAAATCTACCAAATTTTGCCT